CCTTTTTTTTTTTTTTCCCTCACCCATGTGGAGTTTGTGCATGTCCAGGATATATTTACTTAGATGGGGAAGTAAAAGACAGGCTGAGAATAATTAGGCTGCTGAGCCCCTACTGAAAACTGTTCCTTTAGTCAGTGACTGGTTGTAATTATTCTGGTGGGTTTGTGACAGTGAAATTCCTGTGAAGATTTGGGTTCTTTTAGAACATTTTTTTTTCTGCCCAAAAGCTTCTTCCATGTTTTTCTAAGTGTGACTGACCAATTCTTGCTCCACTTAGGTGGGAATAAYTAACAAAGGAAAAACAAAGAGAACCCAGAGTTGTCATTAGGTACCATGGGCAGCTTTGAACATTTGTGTAAATAAAGGGCTCTCCTTTTTAATTTTTTTTTTTAATTTTTTAATATGAATGAAAATCCGTGTAGTTACTCTGTATCACACCCTGCAGTTGAAGACAATAAAATATCTCTTGTTTTAACCCAGTCTCTCTGCCCTGCTTCAAGGTTGCATTTTGCAAATATTTTACAAACATTCTGCAAATGTTTCTTGCCTCCCTCCTGGCTGAAGTGACACTCCTGAGCGTTGTTTGTGTTGCACGGGGAACACAAATCCCCTTTGACCCTCCAGAGCATTGACAGCACTACATTAAATTAATTTCCTGTAATTAATAGCCTCTCCTGGATGCTGATAACAGCAAATGATAGGCAGCATAAAAAAATCATAAATCCAGTAATGAATAAAGATGCTGAACTCTCCAGCTGCCTTCCAAGCTATTAGGAAATGGCACAGAATCTGTGTTTCTGGGCACTGGGAAACCCTTGCAGGCTGTTTGCAGACATCCAGGGGAAGAAGTGACTTTTATGGGATGATTCCTTCCTTTTGAGGAACACCCCAGAGCGCCTGGCTCCATCTCGGGGATCATTTCTCCCTGGCAGGCTCAGGGTTGTGCCTCACCCCAGACAAGCACAAAAGGAAGATGATATTTCCTGGGATTACTCCCTGCCAGATGCCCTGCTCGGCATTTCCACGATGGCCACTGGGACAGGGAAGCTGGCAAATCCTCAGAACCACACCTGCCAAAATTCCCTTCATTGCTGACACGAGCTTGGGTCAGGACCAGCAGCTCCAGCACGGGCTCCTGGAACAGAAATTGGCTTTTCCCTCCCCATTTTCCTGTTAGTGACTTGTGAGAACAGCTTAAAAACACCCTGGGTTTTGAAATGTGTTCATAACCCTGCCAAACCCCAGCGCTGGTGCTCGTCCTTAACGGGACAAAGCGGTTTGGGAGCCTCGAGGGGGCAGGAGAGGAAGGGCTTCARAAACATTTCCCAGCCAGATTTAAGGTCCCAAAGGCACCAAAGGAGATATTTGGGGTCATGGGATGGATTTATGGGGTTTGAGCTGTATCCATAATGTATTTTTGGGACAAGTGGATGGAAAACTCCTTTTCCAGTGTTCCTGTCCTGACCTGAACTACAGTCTGAGCGAGACCCCAGGCTTGGATTTCTGAAAGTTTGGGTGAGGTGAGAGCTTAAGGCCAGGGGGGCAGAAGTCAACTATTGGATGATTTGGGGCAGTGAGGCTGAAGATGATGGCAACTTTTAATTAATTTAATTTTAATAATTAATTTATGAAACCCTCTGGCTTTCTGTGAGACTCAGACTCCTCCATGGGGTGTTTTTTTTCCTGACTCCAGGCCTGCAGCCACCCTGGGTGAGGGATTAGAGCACTCCAGAGGGGTGTAGGAGATAACACATCCTTCAATTCCTCCATCTGGCAGTGATACCTCGGTGYCAGCTCATCTGGATCCCCCTCACCTGCTGCATCACCTCGGCTGAGCTCCCTTCCCTCCTCTCCTGCTGCAATTCCAGCCAAGAAAACTCATCTCACCCATTTCTGAGCTAAAAGTCACCAGAAAAACCAGCAATCTTGCCTGAGCCTGCAGCAGTGAATGAGCAGCCCAGTGGTTTGTGACAGAAAACACAAATTTCCCACCTTCCCTGCACAAGGATGTCACTCCATTCAGAATTACRGGTTTGGCTGGGTTTGCTGTAAGAGCAGCTGAGCGTAGCTGAGGGTTAGAGAGCGTGAAAAACAAGAAATTGAGCACATGGTGATGGGTGGCTGCTCCTGCTGCTCATTTGGTCTCAGTCTTCACTGCCTGAATCCAAAAGTGCAGCTGGAAAAACCTCCTTGCAGCTGCCACATTATTTCTGAGGGCTGGCAAATTCTGCAGGAGCAGTAGTTGGGTTTTGTAGTTGGTTTTGTTTGGTTGTTAGTTTTTTTGTTTTTCTTTTATCTTCTTTTTCTCCTCCTTTTTTTTTTATTTTGCTTTTTTGTTGTTTTTAATTTTTTGGTTTTGTTTTGTTTTGTTTTACTTTTATTTTTCACCTCTTTTTTCCTTTTTTTTTTTTTTTTTTTTTTTTTTTTTTTTTTTTTTTTTTTTTTTTTTTTTTTGTTGTTTTGGTTTTGTTTTGTTTTGTTTTTCCTTTCTCTTCTTTTTCTCCTCCTTCTCGTTCTCCTCCTTCTCAGACACTTGTGCTTAACCCACTGAACATTCTCCACCAGACCTTGATTACGAAGGAAAACTCGATCTAAACATTTATGTGTCATCAATAAGCAGCAGCTCGATCCCAGAAAATGGCAAGGAGCTCAAGGCAGGGTAGAATTCCTCAGAGGGCATTCCGAATACAGGGATTTGACAAAATAATACAATTTATTTCATGGGAAGTGGGAAAAAGAATATAAAATTAAGACAAAGGAAACACGAACCCCCAGCAGGTTTGCAGCCCCAGGTGGGGATCTCCCTGCTCAGCACTGCCTCAGCATTTTCTTTGAAAAACGTCAGCTCAGCCTTTGTTCCCACCTTTTCCTGGGTGATTTCCCCGGCAGGCACAGCAATCTCAGCCCGCAGAGCGTTTGTTGGTGCTGATAAACAAAGTGGGGTTTGTCAGCAGGAGGCTGAGAGCAGAGAGCAGCCAGAG